AAGATTAGGTATGTATGGAACGAATATAGGAAATACAGGCGTAAGAGTTTCAATAAAAATATGATCATCAATATCGATTCTGAATCTCAACGTGGATGACCTGAATTTGAATCAAACGTAAGTCTACCGCAGTCTCTAGAATTAGTTTGATTTTATATCAGCGTTTCCTTTAACGGATAGTCAGTTAAAAATAAAAACTGAAAACAAAAATGTTTTTGTTATCTGTTAGTTTATATCCCATGACATTTCTATCTATGTCATGTAGGTGCAGGTAAACCACTAATCCCCCGCCCTCATAGGATACGTTACGTAGGATACGTTAGTATACATATCTTGTATGAAACGATCCATTGATTGTAAATTGGCATTCTGAAGATGTTATGAAGTATATTTTATACGGAAAATAAAATATAGAAGATGATACAACATGGATCTCGAGGTCAATATAATATAATTATAGTATTTTTTGCATGATATCCGCTTATTGTGTTTGTGTTGCTCCTTTTAACATAAGATTTAATTGACTAACACTATAGGTAAAAAGCTGCAATAAAAATATTATTACTATGAAATCTTACTTGTGCATGGTCAAGATAATATTGTTGCTCCAAAATTGTATCTTGCCGTTGAACATGTGCAATGCCGTCGGCACTTCGGCCCAATTCGATTTCTAATAATCTCTTCAGATGTGTAACTAGCTGAAATAATTAAAGTAGGTATGATATTCACCTACATTACGAAAAATACATAAAATAACTATCTCTTATCAAAGTTGTGAACAGGTGGTCAAATACTACATTATCAATAAACATTACATTATAATGTGTCAAAATTTTGTAAGTAAACAGATATATAACAATGATAAATAATTATGTTGTTTCATAAATCGTAATCGTTCCTTAAAATCACACTGTAATTGCAAATGTGATAGTTACGTACTTTTTTATGAACTGTTTTATGTACTAGCTACTGGCCTCGGCTTCGCCCGGGCATACCGGGAGTCTCTTGAATCACTCTATCTATTTAAAAAATCTCTTCAAAATCCGTTGCGTAGTTTCAAAGATTTAAGCATACATAGGGACGGACAGACAGCGACAACAACTTTGTTTTATACTATGTAATGATGATGAAATGGTGCACCCGCCTGCGCTAACGGGTCGGGTCGGTCGGATCACTAGTAGAGGAAGATAAGACGAGCATGAGGTCAGGTCAGTTAGCCCATCGTGAGAGATTTACAGGCGTGCTAACGATGTGTTAATATCAAGTCATCCTCGACCTAACATTGTATATTGCTATCCTTCTACCCGGCAGCCCGACATTGTCGACATGGTAAATGCGACTTTTGACATGCTCACATTTCGCTGGGTAGGTATATTATATGTAGGTATTTGAATACAACGTAACAGGGGGTCTATCACTTTGTTCCAGTTATTATTTTTTGTTTCTTATAGGAGTTACCTTTGCTATATGTGCGTTAGAAATTTATAATGATAAGCAGTTTTTCTAGTTTTCTGTGCAGTTTTCATCTCAATACCTTTTGGGTTTTAGATCTATAAGGTATAAGTATGTAAATATAGTAAACCACTAAAGCTATGTGGTAGTAACTGCAAGTCACGCTGTTACATTGAGAGATCTGCGCTAGTAAATTTATGATGTGTTTATTTTCTTTGACAATTAGATTAATTATTTATCTAATTACGATTTATTTATAAATATGATGAATTAGATTATATATCTATAAGAAATAGACTCTAGATATCAGTGTGATTGGGATTTCCTTGGTATAATCCAAATAAGGCATAAAAATTTGTCAGTGTAAAAAAATTGTGAGTGTGAGGCTTTTTGAAGAGAGGCTCAAAAATAATAATAATTATTATTTTTCCCGTAATGTTTAAGTAAAATATAATTTACTTAGTTTATTGAATTATTCATTTTATACCAACATCAGTCGTAATTTAGTACCTATGTCAGAGATTTCTTGTATGCTTTCGAAGTGAAGCGAAAATATAACAATATTTTTTTACAAGTGTAAGTGGATGGATGTAACATAATAAAATTATGTTAGAGTGGCAAATTAACTTTTTAATTACCCCCAAAAAAAGGGAGTGTAGATAATATAAGTTTAACGTGTCTAAACAAATGGAATGATTTATGGTACAATTACCTCTTGTTTGAAAGTTGAAATGATCGAGATATTTCATAGCTACTATTTATTACTGTTTTTATTCACCGTTTACTTAAAAATTTTAAATCTATAATTATATTCTGCTTTAAATTCAGAATCTAAAATAATATTCATATATATCATAGCCAACGAGCATTACACAAGATATCGCATACAAATGTCTAATAATTGTGAATTGATTAAAGTTATTTGAATGTAACAACAGTATCAAAAACGGGATTAACTATTTAGAGTAAATGCTAACAAAATCATCCATGATTATGAAATCTTTCCATGAATTTAGTTTTTGATCGGTCTGTAGAGCATTATTTAAGCCAAGGATCAAATTATAAATTTTACCTCAAACATATGGTTTGATAATACCTATATATCTAAAACTATTTATTCTAGATAATTTAATTTAGATGGGAATATAATACTGATAATAAATCTCTTCGGATCTGTTAGTTAAAATGTAGGTACATACCTGCCTAATTCTTAAAATTGTGTACATTAGAACAAATTTGAAGTAGTAATTTTTATTTTTCAGCTGGTACACCCCAAATATCGCCGGTTTTCTTCTCTTATTCACAAATCTAAAGGCCACTAGCACCAATATTGCTGGGATCAATGCGGATATTATTAATACAATCATTTTTATTAACAATATTACGAAACTGTTTACGACTGAACTGATCCAACGTTAAGACTAAACGGTTATGAATATCTCGTTATATTTACTGTAATAGATTATAATTAATCAACTTATAATCAGTATCTTATCGGCAATATACAGAACAACGATTTCGTTATCAATACCATAAATAACTATTTATTATTACATAAAAATACGAATTCGAATATTGTCGGCGACATGTGGTCGTGTCGTGTGAATGCAACGACTGCCATAATAATAACCCAAGACAATTCACACAGCGCCATATATTTCCAATCTAAGCAGAGCTTGTGTTATAAGTACTACTGACAACTGATATAAATACATATGTATTTTTTTGTAAATCCATATTTAATGAGCAAAGGAATCTTCCAGATCAATTCAAATAATCGTGTAAACCCATGAATATAAATGTATGCAAATTTATATTCAAGAGTTTGATTGTTGCTCGTATTGATCTGAATTTGTAGATGACTGCAATATAATAATCTAAGAACAATTAGTCATAATACCTACTCGAATGACTAAGTATTTTTGGTCTAAAATTTTAGGATAATGGAATTTGGATATACTATATATTCTAAATTACCTACTAAAATTTTGGATCAGACCGTTCAGGTTACATAGTGGAACACCAACATTTAAAAACTTGACCTGTAAAAACAAGAGACGAATGTCTGTAAGCATGTAGGAAAAAAGGAATACATCTTTAAAGTTATATTTCTGTGGTCTGAGGGTCAAACTTTCTTACTTACTATCGAATTCCACAAAAAAGGATTTAATGTAGATCTACTTTATTACCATTCTTCACGTAGGACTCATAGAGTCAATATAGTGCGTTTCTTGGTCCATCCATTAGCACATCATGTCTTATTTACACATACAGGCCGAATTTCTCAGACATATCAGATACAAGACAGGATATCTACATCATTACATTGATGATGGGTCTCGCACTCGCCTTTGCTGTACCTATATCCGTATATTATATAAAACCATCGTTAAACAATAGACCCCGGTTAATTCCACAGGTAATAAATACTGTGCAATAAATTGATAAGTTATTATTGATTAAGTTGTTGTGATAAATTGTTTAAAATTTACGCGTGTTCTGTACATTTTTAAAGTGGTACCACGATACCCACTATCACTATAATATCCACGATAGCTAACGAAATATTTTTATGAGAATGTTATGCTTCCTGTCACAACTGCTACTCGGGTGGTAGATGCCCTTTAATATATATATCTTAATAAATGTATGATGCAGTGGTAAAGTAAATAAAAACCTACATCTGATAGTATTGTCATAGTGGTCATTTCAAGGATCATTATGTTAATATTGATATGTGTACGGAATGTATATTGTGTACGGAAATATAGTTAGTGAATTTCTTCACTTTAGAGTTTCATTGCATGGCGCGATGCTAAAGATCCGAAATATGTAAAGTGAATTTATTAAATTCCCATAAATAATAATAAAAATATAATAGATAGGTATAAAAAGAAAATATTTTCTATTACAAAAATATATATACCTGTTCTTAGATCCTAATAAATGAATAATTGGCCATTTCGTTATCTTACAATATCGCCAATAAAACGACACAATATTTTTGCGGACCACGAATATGACAAACAGATTTTTAAACCATTTAATGAACTATAAGATCTTTCGCATTGCCGCGTGTATTGTTTGTACCAGCAGAGATAATAAGTAATATATTTACAGAAAATCAACGCTGCAGTGACACGCTGCGGCACCAGCAGAATAGCGGCCCTTTTAGCAATAGTGCTATATTAGCTTTTATGTTCTTCTATATTTATTACACTGTATTATGCTACGCTGCTTATATGCATATATGCATACTAGCTTCTCTGCGTGTATATCGCAGGGAGTATTAATTGGCACTAGTCAATGTGTTAATTACCCAGCAGTCAACAATAGTACAGATCCTTTGCAGTCATTAAGAATAAAAATACCAATAAATTTCCTTGTGATCTTTCCGTAAGTAATAGTTACAATTTCCTAAATTGTAACTATTACTTATTTAGATTTTTAAAAATTAGTTCATGTTAAAAATTGTTATCATTTCATTATGTAGTGTCGTATTTAAAATAAACTTCCAAAAAATCTTCAATGAGTTTGATTTAAACACAAGATTTAAATAATTAAAATTATAATAGTAGATAGATAGATATAGACACTACATTATTGTATAAATCATTCCGCTGTAGCCATAAGATGCTTATGTACACATTCTTCCTTATTGATAAGATGCGTGGTTTTATTCACAAGTTGCATTAACGTGTTCAAATTGTTTGACCACTCATTAAGACGATCTGATGCATCCATATTAAGGCTGGAACAAAATGAATAATTTTTAATGTCATTTATCAAATTACTTCAAAATATGTATGTATCAACTTCAATTTACATATATTTATCAGATCACATTGGCAGAACTGGCAAACACAGATAGGAAATGAACGACTCATTCATTAGCTGTTTCAATATCCCCGATACAAGCCCCCAAGTATAAAAACAATAACTGTTTGTATAACTACTTTAATATTGGTGTAGTTATTTTGGGAATTAAATATTTATATATGAAATATATATCAACTGTATATTTACCTAAAGTGAACAACTCCTGCAGGGCGGTCGATCTTCGCGCGCACCACACTGCTAACTACGAGTTGACTCAGAGCCTCTTCTGTCTCCAGTTCACTGAGTCCGAGCAACTCACTCATACGTTTGAGCGTAATGCGGGTGTAGTACATCGACATGATGCGAATATTCTATGACAATGATAAATTATTATAGAATTATAGAATAAATATTTTATTAATACTAACCTAAATTATTTTATAGAGTTCGACTTATTTTTACTATATCTGAATTAAAAATGGTCTGTGTGCCACACAGATATATTTTCTAACATTAGGTATATAAAACGACAAATTATTCTCGGCACTAAACACGTCACATGCAATTCTGTGCATGACCATGCAGCAATGCATATGCAAATAGAACACGCGAACGCAGCAGACCAGTACTTCACATCCACGTCGTGATAATATTATATCATATGACTTGTTTGTATTTATTATTAAAAGGCTACGCGCAACATTGCGGTACGTGACACGGGTGATGAGTGAATTAATGGAATTTAAATCGCGTAAAATATTAAACTCATTTCTAGATTTAGAAAATATTTCTCTAATTTAAATTCGACACAAACTCATTGTTAAGAATTAATAAATAATAATTATTATAACATGTCGTCTGGCCAGCAAAAATGTAAAATTATGTTTATACGCATTTGGCTCTTTGTTTATGTACAGGCCAGATAGTAAAGTCTTCATAATCACAATCAGCCAATTTCACCCATTTACGTATTATACCTTTGATGTATTAGGAGATTTACGCGTTGAAAAGCCATATTTTTTACTAATGACAAAAGTTTATTAAGATAACTAAAATATAACTGTATTTGAAATTTATTTTTATACTTACATGTTCAACAACCCTGTTTTTCAAATCATTCCAACGCTCTTGGCCTTTCTCATCATTTGAATCAAAGTATGGAGTTAATCGTAACAACTTTTCGTATGTAGAACACAATGTGTTCCATCTTATGATTTCTGGGTTGATAAACAAACCCAACAGCTGTCTAGAAAAAAACAAAATCATAAATTTTAGTACACAAACATTATCAATAAATTATTATTACTGGAAGTTTATGTTTCTACTTATATTTCAGGCAGCTTGTCTAAATCCTTATCCTCGTTTAGCCTGTGTGAGATCTGCCTGCTCGTTATCATATGGAGCCAAAATGAGGAACACAACACTGCCAATGAGAGAATCAGAACCACCAGCTTGGCCTAGAGCCCGGAAGTGTCTGCACACGGCAAGATATTGTCCATTATGTTGATCAACAGCAATCATTAAACGATAGAATTTTTCTTTCAGCTCCTGAAATAAATTAATAATAACCAAAAGTATATGAATATACTATCTAATTAAGTGTTGCTTTGAATAACAGCATGGATATCATGGAAATTAAGGTGTTCTAGGGTATTCATATTACTATTTAATTTGATTATTTTTTTGTAATTTCTTTAATTGTATGAGAATTTAAATATATTCTATTACTTTCACATGTTTCTTGTCATAAATCACAACTCTAGAATAGTATAATTAGGCAAAGTATTTGAAAATTTGTGTATGTATTACTATAAAATCATAACTCAAATAACAATGAATATTAATAATTTTACACAAATAATATTTAGAGCATTTGCATTGTGGTTGAAGTTTGTTTCTTGATATCAGCCAAGGATGATTTGAAATAATTATATAAGAAATTATTTTAGGACATTTGCAGTAATCAGACCAGTCAGTTTTAGTCATAACTTAAATAACAAAATCATTGTACTGTTTTGAATATTCACCCACCAACTATAAGACCTTCCATAATTAAACTATTGTATAGAAATATGGAGTTAGTGATATGCAGGACAACAGTGTGAGATTCATGATAATAATACTCCAGCGAAAACTATTTTGATAAGTACCTTGCATTGCATGTATACTTATATGTTGTTTCCATAACCATGCCAGTTAAATATGCTATGGATACTCTTATTTTTGGTGCATATGCCATTTAATAATACAAATAACATCAGCAATGATTTGTAAATAAACAAACCTGAGTACTATCTTCTTCAAAAAACTTGGTGTTAATCTTTTTAGATATTATTTGTGTGCGAATGTAATCTTTGATGGCCAAACACAATCTCATTTGTTCCAGAATAAGCTCGACTTTTTCACGTTTGTCCATCGAGCCATATGTTTCTACTTGTAATTCTTGTATAATCTTCGCAGCCTCGGTAATGTTGCCTTCTTCTTCACGTATCTTTGCTAATATGTGTGTCAGTCTAGCACGCTCAACTTCAACATAAATCTTGCCTTCTGTTATGGATCTTAATGTTTCAATAAGTTTTATTTTAGTCTCTTTATCTGGAGTTTTATCAACATAGGTATAGCATTCTTGTACCATTTTAACAACAGCCTGTTTTAGTTGTGATCTGAAATTAATTAATTTAGTCATCAACCAATTGGAAAATATGTCATTGTTTAAATCAATTTTCTTATTTATGTAATTTACTTCTTCTACAAGATTAGTGCAGATGAAACTTACAATTACAATATATCACACATAATGAAATTCTTGTCTCGAATAGAAATATAGATATTTTCCATTCAACGCTGGTCCAGTTCCGGAGACAATTAAATTTCCACCGTAAAGAGACAAATTATATTTAACATTGTACCAATTTTCTTTTCTTTAATATAAATAAAATTCTGTTAACATGATAATTCATTGCATTATGTAGTTATATATCATTTTCTATTTAGTATACTTTTTATTATATAACCTTATCTAGCTATCTAGCGTATATTGAATGCGTCTATATAATTTAGCTCTTAGGTTGGATTACAATCCAGTTCTGTACCGAACTACACGCTCCTAATTATATTATTATATTGACTGTAATCTGTTTTGTATGCTAATAAATAAATAAATAAATAATTTTAAAAATAATGTATTAAGATGCTTTTGGTAATTTCTTATTAATTACAAAATCGGTAAAGTTTAACTTTACTTTTAGGAATTGTTCTTAGACATTATCAAGCCAAACTATTAAAAGAATAATAACTAATTTATTACAATGTATAAAATTTTATATTAATCACTAACCTTCTTTTAGAGAGAAGAGCAATATGATCATTCAGTGCAGACCAATTCTTGGCTTCAAAGCAAATCTGCACTATTGTTACGAGGATTCTTGCAGTGGAAGCCATGTCAGCACCCTAAAAATTATAATATTATACATACATTTGTATTACACATACATATGGTATTATACATACGAACAAACCAATTACCATGACATATAGGAGGTTTTATTGTTTGTCACCTATGTTTCAAATTAATAATTGGACAGAAAAAGAGAGAAAAATAGAAAAAAAATATTGCTAAATACATTTTACTTTATAAGTGTATAGGAATAGGTAGTGTGGCTACCATCTATTTTGAATAAGCATAAAAAAAAAAATTAACAATTACGGTTCTTGTTTGTTTCTCCAGTGCCAGCAATTGATCTATTGCATCCTGAACTTTTCCTTTAGAAGCCCATGACTTCCAAATTGGAATCTTTTCATCGCATGTCGCACTATAGTCCACCTAAAAAGATGAAGTAGATTAAAATACATCAGTTATTAGAAAATAGGTCTAGGAACAGTTTTTCAACCTAACCTACGTTTGAGATTATTTGTTACAAATTTACACTTACTTCCATTTTTACAATTTTGCCACTGGCATCGAGACCGCCGATATCACCGTTAGTAGTCATTTTTAAGAAAAATTAAGTAAAACGGACTCTTCAAACCTGGAAAATTATTTTAAATATTTTAGTTGAATACGAAATTATTTTCAAATATCCAAAGGTGCATAAATCACAAAGACATTAAATAACACAAAATTATATTTTGTAAATAAAACAGATACATACAAATAAATTTTATTTAATAATTTTAGAAGACAATGCACAATTTCAATTTGCTTCTTAAAAAGTAAATGCAAACTCATTTGAAATGACAGTGACAGCACAAACTATAGAGATGCTACCATATTGGCAGTCACAGGATCACAGAATACCAATATCCTAGATACTGGGCAGACAAACAGCCAAGCTCAGTGAGCATGCCAAAAGATACTAGTGTTGTCGAGGTACCTCCACCATACTATGTAATGAAATTCAGTCAACTTTCTATTTGACAATAACATAACAATATATATTTTTATATTTAATATATACGAATATTAACTGTATATACCTAATTGCAATTAGATATATAAAAAAATCAATAATCGACAATAACTTTCGTACATACATAATAGAATCTGTATTTTCCATAGAGCTTATGATATTTAATTGTTGTTGTTGTTGTTATTGAAGTGCTTATGTACAAAAGTACTCTGTGGTCCTATGATAGATAAAACGTTAGTATCTGTGGTTTCATTGGTTTGCTTGAAATGTTCGTGGTTCGAGTCGAGTAGATTTGTAATTCAGAAATGGCGTAGAAAGTGTCTGATTCATTTTCTTTTACATTTTGTATATAATTGTTTTAATTTTGATGCAGATCTGTTACGATTGAAGTAGTTTGTGTATAACGTCGGTTTTACACTTCGTGTGTGTTTAATGTACTTTGGATATCAAGTGATACATTTCCCTTTGTTTTTTTTTTTAACATATGCTGTAACGTATTATATATTTTCACCTAATTTTATTTATGAATTAAAATGAGTCTATCAAGGAACCTTGAAGATTCTGGAACAACAAATATTAAGGGAACTAGAAGCCATTCGGCTCAAGGTCTCCCAAGCACTAATAGCCCAGCTATGAAAATACCATTTCCTCCCCGTTTATGGATAACAGGTAAATAGTAATTACAGTGGTAATTTGTATTTACCCGATTTATAAATGATTTCATTTTATAATTTATCCTTAAAATTACATTAAATTCATTTCTTATCCTAAATGATTCTTGTGTCTACCTATACTTTAATTGGACTATGCAACGTCAAGGTATCTTTTAATATTTTACATGTGCATTTTAGATGTAGAAGATGAATCTTCAGATGATATGAGTGGGAGTGTTAGGGAGGAAGGTGTTTTAAGTGCTGAGCGTCCTCGTGTCAGGTCCAGATTTCGTCATCATAAACAGAGATCTCTTAGTGTACCTATTGGTATATTTTGGGATATAGAAAACTGTCAGGTGATTATTTTTTTTACAACTTGTACTTCATTATAAATGATTGCTACGATGGTATGGTTAATTAACTGAAAATTATTTTCTGAGTCTAATTCTAATTATAATATAATAGGAAGAATAAACTTACATTCCTCTAATATTTTTTTATAATTTTCTACAATAGGTTCCACGAGGGTGTTCAGCGATAGATGTTGTGGCAGCTATTAGAAATAAATTCTTGCCCGGTAGACGGGAAGCAGACTTTGTGGTGGTATGTGATGTGAGGAAAGAAGCTCCAAGTAGGTTACAAGAACTTAATGATGCCCAGGTGAGTTACTTTTTATTATCAATGGTTATTACAACATTTAATTAATGAAATCAATGTAATATGAAGATGAAACTTTTAATAATATTGAAACTATGAAAGTGTTTTTATTTGTTCATCACATATTAATGTCTGAATTACTTTAACACACAACATAAAAAATGATGGTCTGAAGTCTATCTAATATAATATATTTAGTCTACAAATATTGCAAGGAATATAATAAATATGTAGTCAGAATTGAAGAATAGGAGAGGAATCATATAATTTAAAATTGTATATTTATACTATTACTATGATTATTTTCTTTTTTCATTTATAAATTTCATTCTGTACTATGAACAATTACTCTCTGCATTATCTATGGTTGATGGGTTGAAAATGCCACATGATGTTATTTTCCTCAAATGTACTACTTTTGTATTGTGTACATAAAGTTAAATAAATAATTACTATTATGTAACATCATATAGCACATCAATCTTTTTGATTTTGCAAAATATATTAACTAGGCAAAGTTACTTTTAGAGGAATGGGAATTTGTATTGTATGATTTAAATATTATTACTAATTACTAATAGGTGAGCCTAATCCATGTGTGTGGCACACAAAAAATGCAGCTGACGAGAAGTTAAGACAGTGTATGCGAAGGTTTGGAGAGCTGCATTCAGCACCAGCAGCACTATTACTCATATCTGGGGACATAAATTTTGCTGCAGATTTGAGTGACTTCAGACATAGGTGTGTTTATTTTACTTTTTACTACTTACTACAAATTTTGTCTCACCAAATACTATATATAAATTGGTACTTATACTTGATATCTGAAATGTTGTCTGTATTGTTCTGTAAATAACAATGCTTGAAGAAGTCCTTTTTAAAAATATTTACATTATTCTAAATATTGAGTAGGTACTATTTTAATATATACATATATATATATATATATATATATATATATATATATATATATAAATATCCCCTTGGGCACTTTGTGGCTCAGACGTGCCGTATAGGTAGTTTTTTGTTGATCCTTTTTCACTTGTTGATCCGGAGGCCTTTTGTTGATCTAATGCCAGATGACCATATGTAAATGTTGCTCCGTTTTGAGCCACAACTGTCACGACGAGTAATAATAATAATTAAGCGATTTATACACGATTTTATACAAATCCACCTTTTTGGCATACGAGCAGTTCTTGATCCAATTCAATCTGGCCAATCAGGGTGCAGCATTTGCCAAGGGCTTCCTCATTGGCACGTTTGGGCTACTACATTATGGCTACAGTAACTTAATAATGTCTAGCTAGTATTTCAAGAATAATAGTCTATCTAATCTAAATATTTATAGAAATCAGTCTGGAGTAACGGACTCCAGATCCAACCTCAATACTTGTTATTTTTTGGACGGGAATCTTTTCTTTTGTAACAACGTTACTGAGCGAATAAAGAGAAGACGCAACGGCGGATCCAGGGGGAGCGTCATGGAGGTCATGGAGGTCATGGGAGTCATGGGGGCGTCATGACTCCTCCCCTTAGCCCAGGACTTAGGTAGACCACTAATTGAACTAAAAAATAATGAAACAGCAATTTTTTTTGCACGATCGGAGTGTTGGTGCAGTAGTATTAATTATAATTAAACATTGTTACTTAAAACATAACAGTTAAAGTACTATAACACTAAAAGCAAAATAGGTATTTTCAAAATACTTTTTCAAACTAAATTACCCTTTGAGTTTTTGTCCAAACCTCAGATATTTTATTTATTTTAGGTATATCAATCATTACATAGTATAGTATAGTATAGTATAAAACAAAGTCGCTGTCGCATCTAACAAGTACATAAATAAAGAAAGAAGACTTTTTGGCTCTGAATATATTTCAAAAATCAATTACTTGTGTTAATCAATTTATATACTCGTTCTTATTTCATAGTACTTGTTTTGATCCGAATATATACAGATACCGTAACGGTCTATTAATTATGAATTTATTATACCTAACCTAGATATTTTATTTTGACAAAACTCCGTGTAGTAGTAGTATCCGATAAGGGTATGCGAACCCTAAGTATTATTTCAAAATGACCAGTAATTTCGAAGAAATAAGCCTTTGAATTTAGAATTTTGATTTTAATAAGCCTTTGAATCAATTTACCAAACCGACGCTCAAGGTTCGATTCCCGCCACCTATTTTTTTTTGTTATTTTTTTTTCTTTATTCTAATTTTAAATTAACTATTTTAATAATTAAATGAATTTAATCGAACAAAACGTTGTTAAGTATTCAATTAATTTTAATTTACATTACCTATTGTACTTTCTAAATTGTAAAGCAGCTAACAATTATAGTAAGATCTTATAAATAACTAACACAACAAGTAAAACATTTTAAATGTATTTTCTTTATTATTACAAATATTTTTTATGCATAATATAATAGTTAATATCACTTAAAATTTATTTAATACTTAACAACGATTTTATCGATTAAATTAATTTAAATATAACCCATAAATGTATAAATATTATATATAAATAAATACATAATGATCTGATAATCAAATTATAAGTACAGTCTCAAATTGAAAGTAAGAAAAACAGAAAATATAGAGAGAACTATAGGGATATAACAGAAAGATGTGAAAATTGGAGAAGGACAGTAAAAAAGTTACAAATTTAAATAATGTTGCCGCAATTTCTGTTTAAATGAATTTATTACATTATTATATATATTAGGCATACGACTAGCCTTATGACTGTTACTTTTTTTTTAATCTATACATCTATACATGTAAATAAAATTGGAGTGTCTGTTTGCAATATTGAAATAACCGTTTTTACTACTTGCATATGAATATAAATACGGTATACACCAAAATAACATATTTTACAAGTTTTGTCTGTCTGTCCGTTTGTTCCGGCTAATCTCTGAAATGGCTGGACTGATTTTGACGGGACTTTTTTTGGCAGGTAGCTGATGTAATAAGGCTACTACCTAGTAACTTAGGCTACTTTTATTTTAGAAAAATAAAGTTAAAAACCACGTGGACGAAGTCGCGTGTACAGCTAGTTGTCGGTAGTCTAACGATTTAGCTAGCACACTGTTTGATTCCTGCTTGGTGGTCGAGGGTTCGATTCCTCGCACGCTGCAAACATTTGTATTCATGAGTATGATTGTTTGTAACGGTCTGGGTGTTTTCTATGTAGGTATAGATGATATATATGTATTTACGAAGAAAAATCTTTGTATTTATATGAGTACCCATAACATAATCTTCAGCTAGCTTAACTTGGGTCTAGATGAAGCTGTGTAAATTGTCCTGAGATTACTATTATTACTATAATAAATCTTTTCAAATCAGCCGATGTTTATTTTTGCCATAATACGTGCTGTTACCATGTGATAATATTACTTACGTACTTATTAAACTATTAACTTATTATTAAATTATTAACTATTTATACTGTTTTAAATGTGATGCGTTCATTATTTATATTTCCTTTGAATTAAAGACAAATGTATATATATATATACATTTATATAAACTTGCACACTTAGTTGATCCAGCCACGATCCGTAGATATTGCTGATTCCACTGTCTCTCTCTTTCTATCACTATCTTTGTATTCTAATATGCGATGTTGCCGTTCCGGCCGAGACCATGCGTTGTTGCCAAATGTATTCGTCGATAGTAGTAGATACCTATACTCGATATATATTTTTTCAACAATTTCCTGCAATAGTGAATCCGTATCGGCAATTTTTTTTAAATGCACAAAGATTTTTTTGGCTCTGAATATATTTAAAAATCATTTACTTGTGTGTTGATAAATTTATATACTAGTACATGAAGTACCTAATACTTGTTTTGATTTGAATAGGTAGCGATATTATGAATTTATTATACGTAATCTAAAGATTTTGACGAAATAAAAGTAATTAGTTATCTGTTAACCTTGACTTCATGCTGGCACCAGTATTATCAGATGATGAACATACTCTTCGAAAACTTACAGCAGAAATATCGTGTTTGGACTCATTAGATAGGTCTCGATGAATAGAGTTTAAAAAACTTAAAATAAATGGTAAATTAGAAATAATGTATAAATACCCCTTACGTAAAATTCAACCACTTTAAACTTAATAATAATAATAATTAGGAAAAGAGAAAAGCTATACATGCACTGAAAGTAATTGATGCCTTCCACACAATATTTTCAGTATTAAACAACTCTGTTTGTTCAGTAAAAGTGTAAATACACTGGTAACCTTTAATCATATTTTATATGCAAACATTACATATACAAACCCTAAAGTTTTATTTCAGAATAGCCAGTAGTTTTCAAGAAATAAGTCTTTGAAATTGTACGTGTAACTTATATATATGTATACTAGTTTTTTCACCATAACAAACAACACCAATATGGCCTAGTTAGTAGTTTACCTGTGTACCAATTAATAATAATAGTAATCTCAGGACAATTCACACAGCTTCATCTAGACCCAAGTTAAGTTAGCTGAAGATTATGTTATGGGTACTAGACAACTGATATAAATACAAAGATTTTTTTCGTAAATACATATATATTATCTATACATAGAAAACACCCAGACCGTTACAAACTATCATACTCATGAATACAAATGTTTGCAGCGTGCGAGGAATCGAACCCTCGACCACCAAGCAGGAATCAAAGCAGTGTGCTAGCTAAATCGCTAGACTACCGACAACTAGCTGTACACGCGACTTCGTCCGCGTGGAATTTAACTTCTTATATTTTAGAAAAATAAAGTTAAATTCCACACGGACGAAATCCCGTGTACAGCTAGTCATCAATAAAAAACACGTAGGTATCTCTAATATATTATACACTAGCTGTTCCCGCGACTTCGTCCACGTGGTTTTTAACTTTATTTTTCTAAAATAAAAGTAGCCTAAGTTACTAGGTAGTAGCCTTATTACATCAGCTACCTGCCAAAAAAAGTCCCGTCAAAATCGGTCCAACCATTTCAGAGATTAGCTGGAACAAACAGACAGACGGATAAAAATTGTAAAATATGTTATTTTGGTGTATGTACCGTATTTATATTCATATGCAAGTAGTAAAAAACGGTTATTTCAATATTACAAACAACAGGCTTCAACATTCTCAAGTACCACAAAAAAGATGTTTTTATTAAAAACAAGCTGTTCCCGCGACTTCGTCCGCGTGGAATTTAACTTTATTTTTCTAAAATAAAAGTAACCTAAGTTACTCCTTATAAATCAGCTACCTGCCAAAAAAGTACCGTCAAAATCGGTCCAGCCATTTCAGAGATTAGCCGGAACAAACAGACCGACAAACAGACAGACAAAAATTATAAAAATTGTTATTTTGGTATATGTACCTTATATATATTCATATGCATGTAGTAAAAAACGGTTATTTCAATATTACAAACAAACACTCCAATTTTTATTAAATGTATAGATGTATAGATTATTATTTATTTATTTATTTATTCATCCAAAATAATACAAATTGTGTAGGATAACGTAATAGTAACATTACAGTAAAATTTTGTCAACAACATAATAGCAACTTAAACATTAAATCTCGGTATATCTATAGACTAGCTGGCCCCAGCGCCTTCGTCCGCGTGAAATTTTATTTTATTTTTCTAAAATAACAGTAGCGTAAGTTACTCCTTATTACATCAGCTACTTGCCAAAAAAAGTCCCGTCAAAATCGGTCCAGCTATTTCAGAGATTAGCCGGAACAAACAGACAGACAGACAGACAAAACTTGTAAAATATACCGTATTTATATTCATATGCAAGTAGTAAAAAACGGTTATTTCAATATTACAAACAGACACTCCAATTTTATTTACATGTATAGATGTATAGATTAAAAAAAAAGTAACAGTCATAAGGCTAGTCGTATGCCTAATATATATAATAATGTAATAAATTCATTTAAACAGAAATTGCGGCAACATTATTTAAATTTGTAACTTTTTTACTGTCCTTCTTCTTTTTTCACATCTTTCTGTTATATTCCTATAGTTCTCTCTATATTTTCTGTTTTTCTTACTTTCAATTTGAGACTGTACTTATAATTTGATTATCGGATCATTATGTATTTATTTATACATTTATGGGTTATATATTTATGTATGTATATTGTTATTTTTTTATAGAAATGTATATTTTGCTTTGTATTTATATATCTTTTTTTGACATTTCTTATTTATATTAGTGCACCGCCAATAATCTTTCGCTGCACCACTCATGGTTGCCTGGTAAATAACGCGGCAAAATATTAAGTCCGCCACATGTACAATTTTTTTTGTGCATTAAAGTTAAATAAATAAAAAAAATACAATACTGTTTAATGAAAATGCGTATTGTCTAGTGCTTTGAGATGTATCAAAATAAGGTCAACAAAAAAGTCCGTGATGGTATATGTCTATCTCTTAAGGATAACCAACAATAACCATTTTTTATCTTTTACATTTTACGGGAATTTTTTTTATCGTATGTTTCCCTTAAAATCATGTAAACTATGTTATTATGTCATAATCTAAAGAAATAATAAATAATTTTATAGTGACATATCCACTATAAAATACCAAAAAGTAGCAATGTAATTCGTTACGCGCGAATCAGCTGTTATAAGGTCAAAGGTCGGTGCACTCCGCGTTGATAAATAGTGCTTCTCTGGATGTCTTTAAGAGAAAATGGCAGTATGTACGTGTATATGTACAAGTCCTTAAGTGTTAAGTTTTTCAAATGTACAATAAAGAAGAAATATTTTTAAGTACAGTACTTACGTACATTAATATAATACCTACTTTTTACTTGTATCTATTGTCATCAAAATTAAATTATAAGTTCTTAACTTGACCACGACTATGTGACCCTCTCTTGGCGCCAAAACGAGTGAAAAAATGAACAGCATACGACGACGACGCATACCTATAGAGTGGAGCAACTGCTTATTCAGTTTTATTCAACTATTTAGTCCCTCCACCGTTAATGAATGGAGGCGGATATTACAATGTATGTAGCATTGCGAATATAAAATATCTAGATTAGGTATAATAAATTCATAATTGATAGTCCGTTACGGTATCAGAGCCAAAAAGTCTTCTTTCTTCATTTATGTACTGTTAGATGCGACATCGACTTTGTTTTATACTACACTATGTAATAATTGATATACCTAAAATAAATAAAATATCTGAGGTTTGGACAAAAATTCAAAAGGTACTTTATTTTGAAAAAGTATTTTGAAAATACCTATTTTGCATTTAGTATTTGAAATACAAAACATAAAACTATTTTTGTTTTTAGAGTGACATTTCTATGAATTCACTGTCGATAGCGAGCGGTGCGATGGAAAAAGATAACCGTTTATAAAAATATAATAAATAGCCCTGGACAATTAACACAGACTGATACTGAACTGATATAAATAGATATTTTTATTTTGTAAATACATATAAAACACCCAGACCGATGAAAACAATCGATGACCGATGAGTACAAAGGTTTGCACCGTGCGAGAAATCGAACCCGCGACCATCGGATGTAAAGCGGTGTGACCACCGAGGCAGTCGAAATATATAAATAATCTTATGAATTTCATTTATTCTAATTTGTTTGTGTGCGCGGGGTGCGGTGTACGGTGCTCCCCCTGCCTCCACCGTTGCTGGAGCTTGCATGTATGGAGCATTGCGAATATAAAATATCTAGATTAGTAAATTCATAATTGATAGACCGTTACGGTATCTATATATATTCGGATTAAAATAAGTATCGCAGTAAGGACCAGTATATAAAGTGATCAACACAATTAACTGATTTTTGAAATATATATACAGAGCCAAAAAGTCTTTGTGTATTCAAAAAATATCTAATTTGTTTGTGTGCGCGGGGTGCGGTGTACGGTGCAGGGGGGACCCTGCCTCCACCGTTGCTGGAGCTTGCATGTATGGAGCATTGCGAATATAAAATATCTACATTAGTAAATTAATAAAGTCATAATTGATAGACCGTTACGGTATCTATATATATTCGGATGAAAGTAAGTATCGCAGTAAGGACGAGTATATAAAGTGATCAACATAATTAATTGATTTTTGGAATATATTCAGAGCCAAAAAGTCTTTGTGTATACCAAAAATTTAGCCGTTCGGAGCCATTCAGTCACGAATTATTAGTAAAAAAAGTGTCGAGTATATCGTACTATCGACGAATATATATGGCCGCATCGCAAAATAGAATGCGACGTTGCCATACCGCCTGAGATATACGCGATAGGAGTCAAGTTATTCAGTGCAAAAGGTGGAATCGGCAAGTGTTTAGGTTGTGGCGTGATCAACAAAGTGCCCAAAGAGGTGTTTATATATATATATATATATATATATCTTATAAAAAAGTGTCTGTAATATAGATACAGTGAACAATATGATCACATTTCCATATAATATTACATTATTTCATATACCAAAATATTTATTTTTATTTATATGTAAGTTTATAATAATTATATAGGTAATATTATGTATTATTATTTACCTACAATAATTAAAAATTTAATACATTTAATTAACATATGAAAATTTTATATCAGGAAAAATATGGAAGTTATATTGGTGCATAAACAGAATACATCGTCTGCCTTAATTACATGTGCCTCTTCTCATTATTGTTACAATGATCTGACTGCACTTCTACCACGGAATCCAAAGGTATATAATTATATTAATTTAATGATCAAAAAGAAAACTTCATAAGAGAATTATTGAACATTTTGTATTCTTTTAGTATTTTTCTTGTATTTAAGTAAACATAAATAGTTAATTTTAATTTACTTCCTTTTAATGCAAATCAGATTAGTCAAACAGAAGAAGAGGAAGAGCCGCCCACCTGTGAGATGGAAGTTACTAATTTACCTGTAGACCATCCTCCTGAAAGAGTGTCTCGAAGACTAAGGAGGTTGGCAGATAATTGTGGTGGAAAAGTATTGAGGGTCACTGCGAATACTGCTGTCCTGAGGTTTCCAACGCCAGACCATGCTTCCAGGTATGTTTGCTAATCTCTCTCCGCCATTTAATCTATCTTCCTCATTGGTGTTTTAATTTCAATATTTAAGTGATGGACACACTTCATGTTGAAATACTGTTGTGATAAGATAATAAAGTGAACTATATGTAATAGTAGACTGAAATTAACTGGAACCGTTTAGTCTCTCTTTAAAACTCTTTAAAAGCATCCTGAGAATATTGAAGTTTTAAAATGATACCTTCTATTAATAGATTTGTGCTTATATGCTATAACTGGCCACTGGTCTGACTCTAATCTTTATTGATACTGCTATTATTTGATTTAAACTGTCCCTCGGTCGAGGAACCTAGACAGGAAGACTACAAAGAAGAAGTGTTACAATTTCACGGGGTGAAATTGTAACACAGTATTGTGCTAATAGACACCTGAAGATTATTGATTTTATTATTATTTAGTAGAATTATAGTTTAAACTTTGTTTAAAAAAATAGACTATAATATTTTATGACAAATAGAATTTGAGAGTAACAAAAGTTATGATGTGAGCTATCGTTCCGATTCATATATTTTTGTATGCAATTCGAATGGCAAACAAGCTCAAGGCCCACCTGATTGTAAATGGTAACCGTCGTCTATATTCTCATTCTTTATCGTCTACTTCTTGGGAACGATTCTTGAATAGGTAATTATATGGTACGACTTTTCGCAGTCCAGGAAAAACAAAATGTAACACAAAGCGAATATGAAGTCACAATGCGAGTGAGCGAATGCATTGCGATATTTCTTTATCTTAAGCAGTAGGTGAAATCATGTTGTAAGGCTAGTTAGCACTCAATCTTCAGATTATAGTATTGTGTATCATCGTTACATGGACTATATTTACCTATTAGTATATCATTGAATGGTTTGTATGCGTAGCAGTAACAGATAAGCATGCATTGACATTGAGGAAAAATATTGCGTACTTGTATAACTAGTCTCTATAAAATGTATATAGCCAAGATTATAATTTTCCATATTTAGGTTTTTCCATATTTTATTGCTAAAATTCTATAATTTCACTAATGGATACACATATTTCCTCAGGTATCCTCAGGGTACACGTATTTGACAGAATTAGCCGTAAGGACTAGCCAAGCGAAAAACCAGATATATAGAATGGCTTTCAGCAAAAAGAAAAATTTTATACAAATAAATAAAATTTAAGTGTCTTTATCTAGTATATAGAGATTGGTATCATCATATAAACAGCTTATCACTAAAAACAAAAAAAAAATGTCAGATTGTTTGATCTTGCTAATGTCTGGATATCAGTGAGTCTCAAGATCAAACAAATTTGGACCTATTTTGACGGGACTTTCACTTCCAGATAGCCAATGTCATGAGGAAGTTATGTTGGGCTACTTTATTAGATATATATTTATATGGGGTTAGTGGTAACGGGTTATATAGTAAACTTGGGTGAAACCACAGTGATCAATTTAACATTTTTTTTATTATAAAATTGAATGATACACATTTTATAATTTTGCGTCACATCAAAAATTTTATTTATTGTGACTCATTTAGTATGGACAGGCTTTATACCTATCGATTAAAAAGGATATGTTTAACGAGACTAAATGTTTAAAATTGGTGAAAATATGACGTAACTCACTGTAGCATTATCAATACAGAGCATTTTATATTTGAAAGTCGGAAAATTATGGTTGAAATATATCAAGTTGTAAAATTTACTCTTATTAAAAAAAACCTAAAAAATTTTGGTATGTACTTATACGAAGTCAGATTTTTTTTCTTTATTACGAGTATACTGTAATAATGTTATATTTTCATAAAATTGACAATGTTACATTGTGTCATAAGTTAGAATATATAATTCTATTATATGTTATTTGTTTGACCTTTATAGTAATTTCCGAACGTAATAAAAAAAAAGTGGGTACATTTGATTATTTGTTCTATTCCGTTATTTAATTGTTAATAAATTACCCTATAAAAGTGCGATATCCTAAAAGATTATCAGTTACATTTTAAATGTTCATTGCACCAACGGGCAGGCAGGCAGACAGTAATTTTCAACAAATTGTCTATTATAGTTTAAATATTAGCAATATTAAGTGTAATTTTAAAGATTTAATGATAAACGTTGTGGCTTTAAGTATATTACAATGTTGCTTTCTGGGTAAGTATTTTGTTTTCGTTCAAGTTAATATTCCGTATACAATTATTTCTTACAATAAATTACAAACGATGAAATATTTATCAAATCAAAAAAAATACTGTAAAATACCGGTTATCTGTTGTAATTTTACCATATTAACATACATTGACTATTAATATTTGATATCAAATTTACTACGTCATTGTCGTCCGTTATTTCAATCGCTTTACCTAATGACCTAGTTTCGTAGAAATATTATAAACTCTTATTAAACTCCATAAAGTATTGCTAAAAATTAACTATATAGGTCAGTAATATTCGTTCGTTTTGTAGTCTTGAAGTGATATAAGCGATTATTGCTTTTATAGTATAATATAACTTTAAATAAATAAAATTTAAGATAAATTGCATATCTGAGTAATAGGAATTCTATATCTAAATACCATTAATTTGCCGAGTTATTAGGAATGAACTAAAAACCGTTAATTGATACTCCCTTCTTTAAAATATAAAAAATTAAATATGTAAGAAATATAATTATACTACTATATGTATAAGTGGGAATATATTTGAAACTGTATTTATAAAGTTAATAGTCGTTCTGATTTCGTTGAGAATATACGAATTCGACGTGGCAAAAAACCGGTGTACTATCGTATGATAACGGTGTTTACTATCGACGGTTGGTAATTTAAATTATAACAATGGTGTCATATCAGTCTGATTCAAAACATGAATTCCATGTTCGCTTTAAGCCGGAATATTACAAACATTTTCAACAACCATTTTCGATCTGTAATTTAAAATGTTCATTAAATATTTTTATTATAGATCTATTACCATTGTCTTAGATAACTATAACAGTTTAAATTAAAATACGCACATAAAAGTATAAATATATACTTTTATGTGCGTATTTTAATTTAAAAATTATTATCTATATGCATGTTTTGCCTTTTTTATTTGCTTATAGTTACAGTTAGATATCTAAGTATATGAATAGCAAAACTTTTATGATAGTACTGTCATTAGTATAAATTAAATATAAAACATTTATCTGTAGTGTATTAGAGTGCCCACTCAACGGTTATGGCATTTTAAAAATAATGTGGGTAATATTATTTTTCAAATGTTATATTATCGTTAATAGTTACTATTTCGTTTCTAATATATATTCGGTAATATAAATTCAAATCATATTCCTAAATTACAATGGAAGTGATATATTTGATGTTCTGTAAATATGAATGAATCATTATAATAAGAATTTCGTATAGTTACAATTTCGTTTCGTATATTTTTTCTTTAATATAAATTCAAATCATATTATGTACTTAATATACAGGGTACGATATGTATTTGATGTTTTTAAACATGAATGAATAATTATAATATGAATTTCGTGTAGTGAAATTTAAACTTAGTATCTAATAACATGCTACAAAGGACAATTAATTGCTGCCTACTTTTATCAATGCATGATAACGATGGTACTGACTGACTTTTTTTTATTAATTTATGATGGAAAGAATAACATATTATTCCAAACAGGCATCAGTTATGGCAAAATGAAACTGATACATAATTTTAAATGAATCAATAAAATCAGTTCACAAAAGTGTGATAAATATATCGGCTAGGTTATATATTAATAAAATACTGTTGTTTATTGTAGATTTGCATTAACAATTGGTTGAGAAATCTATACATTATTAGAAATACGAAAGTGTGTTTGTTTGTCCATTTATTTATTACGTTTTCATAACAAAAGAGTTGAATCGATCTTAATGAAAGCCATAAACATATGTTGTACCACAACGAACATAGGATATCTTGCATTTATCGAAAAAGCTGTAGTTGCGGGTAATTATATAATAATATAGGATAATGTTTTATATGATTTCTGTGTTGTTTGAAACCCGGGATTGTTACAATTATTTTTATTATCTTTAAATTATGACGCCTATACACCAGTTATCCTATATAACTGAAACACGAAAAGAAATATCAGCTTTCTATGATTAAGTCTATCTTTACATATTATGAACTAAGTTTCCCGTCGCATCTTCCAGTATGGTCTTGATATCTTAATATCTCAAAAACTACTAATCGGATATTAGTGCGGTTTTCATCCATAAGGATTGATTTCAGTGGAAGCTTGTGTGTATAATTAATTATTTTTCTGTGAATTGGTTTATATTTACTGGAATTTCGACATGTTTACAAAAAGTCGCCAAGCAATTGGTGTTACTGATACATCCAAACCTGCCGTCACGACTGTATACCAGGTGGGATAGTCAGAGGGATTGATAACTGTCGATGTTGTGTTGAACGCAAAACTTCGTGGAACATTTCCCTTGGTATATTTCAATCTAACGTCGCAGGGGCCGTGCCCACCGTTATATAAATTAACTCGATATTTTTTTTTATTTTGTAGAGCACTAAAGCGCATGGATGGTGAAGATGTATTTGGTCGGAAAATAACTACCCGTTACGCACGAAGTGTGTTCCAGTCTGCGTATTCCAGTGATGAGGGATACGGTACTGCTCCCCCTACCCAGCCACCGCACAGAGCTGCATTCATGCCTCCAATTAATCAGGTTTGAAAAATAATTTAATATTAAATACCCATGTGACTCAAATCGACTTAGAATATTGGTAGCTGTAATGTTTTTTTATAATACATAGTAATATTACAGTGGGTTGCCAAATTAATAGGGACAGTCACGAAATATTCGTTTTTTGTAAAACATTGGTCTATAATTAATTAAAAACGTCACTTTAGGCTATAATTATATTTAATAATATCAGACACATATCTTATAATGAATTTAGACTATAATAATTTAATATTTGAACAACTAGAAAATATAAACAAGTATAATAAAAATGATGATGGGAAATTATTAGTATTTTGTCACATTTCCTTTTGCTTCTATCAGTGCTTGAATCCGCCTCGGCATACTTTCAATACACTGTTTAGCACTTTCTTTTATTTTGGGATTGTGAAACCATACATTTATTAATTTTTCAATTAGTTTTACTTTGGTAGTTATGATTTCCTTAGCAATTTCCGCCTTGGTAATTTCCCACAAGTTTTCTATGGGATTCATATCAGGAGAATTGCCAGGCCAAGGTAAAACTGGAATGTTGTGGTCTTCCAAAAATTTGGTTACACTCCTCGCTTTATGACATGGAGCTGAATCGTGCATAAACACGAATTCCTCTCCATTCGGGAACCATTCCTGAAGTTGCGGCAACAGGCGAGTTTCTAATACTTGCTTGTATTGGTCCTGTCTCATGGTTCCCTGGACGATATAGAGGCGCCCAACTCCTTTTGCGCTGATGACAGACCATACCATTATTTTTACAGGGTGTTTAATTCGTTCCACTATGCAATCAGGATGAAATTTCTCGCCTGGGCGCCGCCTCACGAAGTTACTTTTGTTGGCCAAAATTTCAAAAGTTGACTCGTCTGAGAAACATATCTAAAAAAATATAGAAACTATTTATAATTTTTGTAAATATGATTTTATATAACACAAATAAAATTAACCATAGAACTGACCTTATTCCAGTCTTCAACAGTTTTCAGGCGGTGCTCACGAGCCCAAGCAAGCCTTTTCTTTTTCATCGCCTCTGTTAATCAGGGTTTCTTAACTGGACGATGACCTGTCAGGCCTTCCTCTGCCAACCTTCGCTGTACAGTTCTTTTTGAAACACGTATTCCAGATTCCTGTACTATCTGAGTTAAAAATTCAGCACTTTTCTTTCTGTTTTGCAAGCAGATATCTCGAATTTTCCTATCGGAACGTGTTGTTGTGATACGTTTTCTGCCACATTTGCCTTTTCTTTTGGGCGAAAGTGGCTGATTTTGATCTAAATTTATTTTTATTTTATTGACGGCAGATTTCGATATCCCGGCCAGTTGTGCTATCATCCTCTGAGAGTGATTTGTGTGTAGGAGAAGGGTTTTAACCTCGGATTTTTTTCTCGGAGTCAAATCTACCCCTCGACCCATAGCCAAAGCTGAAAATATAAAAATAAATTAAAATTGTTCTAAAATCCGCTCCAAAATACTTTAATTTTAATTATAGTAAAATATTACTTACTTGCAGGTATTGATTATTTCACAAAACCACTAAAGAACTGTTTAAAAGAATAATTTACGTGTTTCACTTTTACACGTGTGAACGACTGTGTGTTTCTCCCGTCATTAAAATATATTTCCAAAATAAACAAATCTCTCAGCACTTGAAATTCACTTTGAATTTGAGTTATAGAGACAAGGTGAACATAAAAACATATCAGCAAAAAACTTTTACCACTTAAAAACGTAGTCAAGACCACTTGAAGAACAAAAATTATAAAAAATGTGACTGTCCCTATTAATTTGGCAACCCACTGTATAAATGTGGAAATTTATGAAGCTGATTTTTTTTTTACTTTTACTACTACTAATAACCCCAGTTAGCCTCTTTTTCCTACTAGTTCTTTTATGTCAAATACGTAATAGCCTATCTTAAATCGTCAAATTATATTTGACGATTTAAGATAGGCTTATCCTAGGATGTTAGTATATTTTTTATTATTCATTCTATAAAAATTTTTATTTAGTCTACTACTTCACTTTTTATGTACCTAGTTTATTAGAAATAGAAATAATCTTATTCAAATAAACTTAACATAAGCACTTTTGAATAGCCACATTTTTTTTATTCTACCGCTCATTCGGAATGCAAACTCATCATGAGAATAATGAGCAAGAAACTTGTGTGTTGCTCTTTTAAATAAATTATGTTCTAATTAGATTTACGTTAACAAGGACTAGGCATGCGACAATCAACATAGAATTGACAAACAAACTGATGGCTTAACTTTAGGCATTCTAGACTACGTCATATTTTATTTATAATGTAGCTGGTAATTTTCTTTTACATTAGCAATGTTATTCACCACGTGAGAAGCTTCCAAGCGTAAATTCCGTGGCCAACGATTGGGCATTGGCCTTACAACAACTGCCTGCGCCGACACCTCCGCCGCTCGACTTCTGCCCACCGCCTGCCCCCAAGCCCCGCAAAATCAGAGGCACCCATGGTTAGTCATTATTCAATCAGTTCCAAGATAGAAATTAGACCCATTCCATTCAACTGTATTTTACTTTATGTCATTACTAATTTCAATTAATCCTTCTGCAATATTTTATCGTTTTTTTTATTGCCTTATATAAATTTTGATATTTTAGTGAAAAATAGATTGCAAAATATTGCCATCGTTATTCCATAAACTCTATTAGTGTGTTACAACATTTTCTCAAATTAAGAAAGTTACTCGGACATTAAAGAACAGTACAATGAATAGATAGCAGTCACTGGAAAGCATATTATCGTAACGACACTAAAATGTGCTACCATATTAGTGCTTATCAAATTTTACACTTAAACTTACTTAATAAATAAATTGTTAATATCTCGTTCATATAACGTGTTAGAATTATATACGCAGTTTCAGTTGTAGGTATGTAAATTTTGATAAACTGTATTTCAATAACCCTCATTACCTATGTAACATTTTTTTTTAAATTAAATTATGTTATAATTTATGTTACCTAAATCTCTGAAAGTGCTCCATTCGAGCAAATATAACACTTTGAGTGTGGTTAGATAATATTAATTTGTATTGTGCGCAGGTTCAACTAATTTAGACCGCTCAGGTTGCTCATCCAGTAATAGCTGTGATGAGAGTCGTCGTGACAACAGCCAGAGCCGAGCGATGTCGCCGTGGAACTCGTCTGCGAGTTTCAGTGAGCAGAGTGAGGGTGATAGTGACAATGCTGAGCTCACCGTCTCCAACCTGCCCCCATTCGACCCTACTGTTTTACAGGTTATTATATTTCTCTTATTATGATTGCAACTTTTACTTTAAAACAAAATATGAAAAATCTAACTAACCCAACACACAAATCGAATTTATACTTTTAAAAAATCGCAATTTTGTTGTATTTCTTATGTCTCGCTATATATTTCATTATAATTGAACTGATATTAAGAATTCTTACTAAACTGAATAGAGGTTACTGTTGAACAACATAATTATTTTAAGACAAGTAGGATAAAAGATATAATTAAAATATATATACAATGTTCGTATCATTTTAAAATGTAGATTTCTATTTTATTGCAGGAAATGTTGACAATTCTCTTCGACCAATATGTGCCTGTTGTCCGGGTGTCGATCTGGGCGGCCGGGGAAGGTCCACTGGCGACAGTGGTACTCCGGTCAGAGTGGGATGCTCGATTGGCAATCGCCCGCATCCATAAGCGACGTCTCGACAACCAATGGACAGGTCGCAGGCTCGAACTGTCCTTAGGAAGGCCATCTCCTGCACCAAATCTAGATGTATTGCGTGCTAGGTTGCGCGCCATTTTACTAGATCAAAAGAATTATACTCTACCTCTATTACGTTTACGTGATGCTTATGCAAGCCGACACTGCTGCGCTCTAACAACCTCTGATATAGCAAAGGTGAAAGACACGGTCATAATACATGAAGGTTTTGGGAGAATGGTTCAGTTAATAGATCTAAATCCAGTGTCTAGCTCGGAGATGGAAGCAGCGCCCTGGAAGTGCCACATTCACACATCGATGAACACTGGACATGAGGATGGAAGTCGTATATTGCAACCAGTGTACATAGAGGTTGCCGCCTTAGCAAAGAATGTGCAATTGTTGTTAGAAAACCATGGAGGCGTTTTACCACTTCTAACGTGAGTAATTTTTTTTATATATTGTTTTTAATCTATCTAAGCTCTTATAATGTCAATATATTTTATACATGTCTATATTGATTTAACCGAGCATCGAACTTGAATTTTATTTACACATCGCATACTATTTTTTACATGATTGATATCTGTTTTTATTTGAAACCTCTTGTGATATCCTTTTTTATCTAGTTTGGATACTTAGGTCACGTGGAGCTGAAACTAACTTAAAACATTGCTAGCAATGGCACTAATTGTCTATTAATAGCAATTCACCCCCGCCCCCTCCCCCCAATATCTTTTCTTAAAAAAAATTGATTGTACATTGTGTATCATGTTGTACATATTCATGCTGTTTTCTCGTGTAACAAGTTTGATGAATTGTTTGCGTAGTTTCGTGGAGTGTTACGAGGCGACGTTTATGCCACTAATGGTGGACGTACAGCGCGGTGTGGCTCTGGAACTGCTTCTTCGCAGTGTTCCCGGCGTGGAGGTCAAAGACAGCCCCTCGCGGCATCTCACATGGCGCACCGATGGGACTGATACGCCCCCTTCACACAGTAAACGCTGTTTCTAAATTTACTTTCTTCTATACACACACATAGACTACTTTGTTACCTAGTAAAAAATTTTGTAATTCTAGTCTTAAGTTCAAACTATACGTGTTCTGGTATCTCATCATTTGACTTTATTGTGGTCCTATTATGTATTATCTTTTTAGCAGTACTTACCACCGTTACCAGACATTCACATTGCTTCTCCAGTACTATTTTTAGGATTAAAATATCATTGTAACTGCAACTTATTTAAAATTATAACGTATTATTTACACAGGTGAGAGTTCCCGGTCTAGCGAACGAGAGCGCGGCCGGACAGCACCTGCTTTAGAACCAATACTCGCGTTGTTCGAGCGTGAACTCATCGATCTACTGCGAACTGCACCGAGGTGCACCATTGCCTTTAGCAAGTATGTGTGACCACCACATTATACAAATTTTACCGTTTTTATTGTAAACATAAATCTCAGAGAACCTGCAGAAGATTATATGGAAGAAAGGTAGTAAAGTCTTTACAAAACTGGCCACATGCAATATTGCCCAAAAACTTTTACATTGTGCTTTCATTGATAGTATATTATTTTGCAACTATAAATCCTAATGTAATGGAGATCTATCAAAAAAAAGAAGATAAAACATAGTGTATGTTTTATCTTCTTTTTTTTGTCTCTCGTTCTCTCTCGTTTGCAAATATTTTTGTGTGACAAATTTACAACAAAGTCGGTATATCCAACATATATAGTTTTTTTTTTAGTAAAATTAACTTTACTTTTATAAATATAATATTTAATGACTGTTAAATTGTCCACAGACTAATCCCAGCATTCCATCACCACTTCGGTCGTCAGTGCCGAGTGGCTGATTATGGATTCACAAAACTCCCAGATTTACTCGCGGCTCTAAGCAATACAATTGTTGTAAGTATTTTGAATTATTTTACTCAGCGCTACATTGTACGTAATTTTAAATTTTTTGCTGTTTCTATACTAGAAACGTTTCCTTTAGTAATTTCGAAGTGTTAACGTTAAGATCCTCTTTAAAGGTACTCGGTTCGGGTTCGTCTCGAGTTATAACAATCTCGGCAGCGGCTCAGAGCCGTCGATGGACATCCGATCTGGTGAAGCTGTTGAAAGCTCAACCTGGCCGCGTTATACTGCCCATGGAGATCCCAGAGCTATATCAGTCGACATTTGGACGGCTATTTTCGCCGGTTGACTATGGCCTGTGTACGCTGAAGGAGTTGATGCAACGCGTTGCACCGCAAGCAGTTATTGTTGATATTGACGGCACGCTCTCGTTGCCACGCCGGACTCCAACGCCTGAAGAACGCGCGCGAACTGTACAATTTGCTGTGGAAGTGAGTATATATTTTCAATAAATATCCTATTTTTTTAAGGTGAAATATGAACCTAAAAAATTAAACATAACCTTTCTGTTCTTCTTGCGACTTCTTCCATTTCTTTATAGGAATGTTACACTATATGTATAATGCTAATAATATGAAATTGACCCAATGTTATTGAAAATAAAAAAAATATAGGAGTGCCAGAATGGAGACTATATTATTGTGTAGTATTCGACTGGAAGTGTTAAAAATGCCAGCATCCTCTCTTATTTCCAAAGATTTTTTCCGAAAAATCGGATATAATTTTACTTGATTTATAATTATTTGACATATATAAAGACTGTGATTTCTAATTTAAAAAAATTACAATAATAATATTTATTATCAATGCAGGCCGTCGAACTCCTCTGCTATACACCTAATCTACGTATGGAATTCTCGCGGTTTGTACCCGCTTACCATGCTCACTTCGGGCGGCAACTACGCGTCGCCCACTACGGATGCGTGAAGCTTGTGGAGCTACTGGAACTGATACCGGAAGCGGTGGTCATATGTAAGATAACATAAGTTATTTACGTCTTTGTAATAAGTTATTGAAATATACAACAAACTATAAGAAAATTTCGAAATTTGTAGTATACAATATTTCAGATCTACTTGCTGTCATTCATGTCTATGTCAGCCATTTGATATATCATTAATGGATTAATTTTTTTTATGTGCATGAGAACGCACTATTTTAACCCGTGTTATATACACAGACATATCGTTTATCAACTCTGGATCAGTTTTGATATATTTTTTAAACCCAAACGGTCTTATTACAAAAAATCTGTTAAAACTCGGACGAAACGTGGTCTAAATGGTCGTGGTTTAAACCATTCCTGAAGTTAATACTTGGAATAAACCTAACATTATTACGAATACAGATCTAACAGAGGACTACTTAGTACTACAGTTAAATCGTTCATTATGTATTCCATACAGAAATCAGTCACTCATGTCTGTCACCGTACAATTACGTTCCATTTTACCAGAAAACTGAAAAGATCAAAAATAATATTAGTTCAAAGAAAAATGTATAAACTAAAAATAAATTTATTTCTATTCATCTATGTCTTCATTATAACTATTTCATTAATATATAATATTTATTAATGTACTATTAGGCTGAAAATCAGTTTCAAATTACAAGTAGGAGTCCAATACGGAGAAAAGGAACGGCGAGATATTTTTATTGGATCGTTCGAATGGTGACTATTTCAAAGTCAAATGAGTGAAAAAATAACAAATAACGTCTTTTATATATTTTAATGTCGTAAAATTTGCTTTAAATATTTTTAGTTAAGTTTATTTTTAATTTAGTTAAAATAATTTTCCAAAAACTACAACTTACAATAGAATTTTTAAAATGGAGTTTGTATTTTTGCCTTTAGACCACTGTTAAACTAGGGGCATCGCAGGTCTAACTTTAGACCATAGACGAATCACGATTTAGAGATAAACTTCATTTTGTAATAAGGAATACATTGGTGAATGGTTTATTACTAGTGCTAAACCAGGTTTATCTTTTTGTAATAAGGCCGAAAGTATTTTACTTTTTTTTATACATCTCTGTCTATGTTTTACTTACATATGTATAAGTCACTTTTGACTTCATATGATATTAACCTTGATTTAAACGATAAATTACATAAAAATATGGATAAAATAGTCAATTGGATGAACCTACATAATCTAGTTATTAACTTTTCAAAAACTAAAATCATCAGCTTTCATCCATATCAAAAACAACCCCTAAATATAAACTTTAAATTTAACAACGTCACAATAGAAACAGCTAATGAATTTACACTTCTAGGTTTAGTAATAGATACCCATATAAATTGGAAAGCACACATACAAAAGATAAAAACAAAAATGTCTAGTTTCGTTTATGTTCTTCGGGAAGTGAAAAGCACTACAGACGTCTCTACTGCCCTTTCCACCTATTATGCGTTTGCACATGCATGACTCAGTTATGGGGTGGTTATGTGGGGGAACAGCGTGGACGCATCTGTTCTTTTTACTCTCCAGAAGAAATTAATACGAATAATATTTAACATAAGAAGCCGAGATAGCTGTAAACCTTATTTTATAATAAATAAAATACTCACCCTGCCTTGCATCTATATTTTGGAAGTGTGTAAATTTGTAAAAAAATATCCGCAACGGACGTAGACCATACTTACGCGTTGCGTAATAATAAAAAAATACAATTACCCACCTCTCGTCTCAAATTACATTCTAGTGGCCCCTTGGTATCGTCTGTTAAAATATTTAACCAACTCCCAACTTCTATAAGAACTTTAAATAAGAATAGCCTATTTATAAAATACTTAAAGGATTTACTATGTAAAAAACAATATTATAATGTAAGTGATTATTTGAATGATGTATTTTAGTTTTTATGTAACATTTAATTAAGTTATATATTTAATTTACATCCAGTATTTAATTAAGTTACATCCAGTTATATATTATAGTATATAACTGGATGAATAATAATAAATTATATGTTATAACTAGTTATGATAATAGTAATAATAATGTTATGTTTGCGTGCCCTAACAGGGTCCATAATGATCGAAAACGAATTATAAACATCTTTCATTGTAATATTGTAGAATGCAATAAATATTGAGTATTGAACAAATACATATTTTTAGCTGAATTTTTAATGAGGTTTTGAATTAAACTGCATTTACTGTGTGTGTTAAATGATAACTTATATTTACATTGATTTTGGTAGGTCTTTTTTGTAATTGATGGTTTTAACTCCCAAAGTCTAGTCTTCAATAGATATAACTTGATTGTCAAATAGATTTCTAGGTTGTATAATTGTATACATTTTATTCCAGGTGTGGAGCCGAATGGCGACCGTACTGTAAGGCTGGGTGCTCGCGCTGCGCGAGCGGCGATGGCTCAACGACTCCGCGCCATCACACCGATTCCTCTTAGTGAACTTTCTACCCAGTATGCCGCCCAGTTTGGAGCTCCACCATTGGTAATTAACTATTTTTTAATAATGATTAATTATTTATACTACTTATATTCAATAGGTCATCTAAGGCATTTGCCTTAGATGACCGCACCGCTGATGCATTTGCATCAGCGATATAACTTGTATCCTCTATTTAAATTTTTTCAATAGCATATTTTGGAATTATATATGTATTTCGTAGGTTTTCATTTCATTTTCGATTGGGAGATATTGGAATTGCATAATCATTTAGGGACGGCATAATATGCCTGTGTCTATCATTTATCTCTCTTCGCAGTCATCTCATTATTCACTCACTTTCTTACCATATCATGCTTAACTATATATTTTTAGGTATTTCGTTGCCCTTGCAGTATAAGGGCTAACAACTAATAATACTACTACCACACTAATATCCATATCTTGCAAACATAATAACAATTATTAAATTTTACTAAATCCTCATCACGAAAAATTTACAATAGTATATTTTATTTCAGCTCGATATGCTAGATGTTACGTCACTGGAATTGCTCGTCTACGCCGCTGGTGGATGCTTGCAGAATGGCATAGTAGTCGGTCCGGGAGCGGCACCATCTTGGGCAACAGCTATGCTCGCTGCTTGCGCCGTCCTCAGCGCTGATCGTAGCGTGGCACGAGGCTCCACCGACGAGTACTTTGCTTCCGCATTCCGTCGCATGCGCATCCCGGAGCCAGACGTCCGGCACTTGGCTGCAGCGGGCGTCGTGGAAACCTCCGACCGCCGCATTCGCCTCACGCCGACCTGGAGGACGGTATGGCGGCTCGCACAACTGTTGGCCGATTGCAACTCACCGACTACTGTCAACGACATTCTAGCGCAGTATATGCACCGTTATGAATCAGTTTTCCCCTGTGCAGATTTAGGTGAGTTTAAAAAATTTGCACTTAAAAATTTTAGTAATCCCCATTTTTTCGCTTTTATGTAACTGGCGTCCTGAATGATGAAAGTTGTAATCATAACAATACATTTAGATAGCGCTAGGTTATGTATTATGTTGTGATACACTCTCATTTGTTGTCTTTTCTGAGATGTATTATGTCACCATAGGCAATAATTTCATTTTTCACATCCTTGTTCTTCGGAACCCAACTTGCTTATAAAAGTTCATTAAAAATATACCCTTGTAAGAGCTCCATAGATTAATTAATACAGCAATGTATCTACAACAGGTGTATGGAGCTTAGAAGAATTTCTACGACAATACCAGGAAGTGTTCACGGAGACTAGCGGAATGGGGCGTTGGTCGCTGTGCGAGGGCGTGACAGTCTCCCGCTACAGAGATCTGGGGTCAGCGCCAACCCACGAGGATTACACACTGCACGATACGCCCCCCGGACAGAAGGTAAGCGCTTACAATTGTGCACGCATACTAGGTTTACATTAATAATTTATTGAACTCATTTTGTTCCACACAATTTACTACACTAGCTATAGACCCAGGACTCAATAAAATTGTGTATGTTTAAGAGAACAACCTGTAATTTGGATGTCTTATGAGCGCAGTCTATAATTTTGCCTGGAGGAACAATATAAGCTTGTTATCAAAGCTAATTCATATAATCTTAGGTTTGATTATGTTAATCTATTTCAAAATAAATTTGATAGTAACAGCGTTGTATAAATAAGCACCTGGAAATACGAATGGAGTGTGTAAATAATTTATTCAAATTTTATAGGGATCGCGTGTGTTCGAGTCTCCGAAAGTAAACATTTGGTGCTCTCCGCCGGCTAGTGCATTGCCAGCCCCGACTGCTTTACTCACTCAGGAAAAACGTAAGTTTATATTAGAATTCTTAACTTTATTAATTAGTTTTTTCAGAGACTAATTTTAAAATAATACAGAAAATGTATGTTCTAATTTTATACAAACATTTTATTATTTGAATGCATAAATTAATTAGTGATTTATTTTATTATCACAGTAGTTCACGTGGGTCTAATTTTATTGGCAAAAATGTTACTACGTCACTACGTTTTTTTTATGTATCTACTTGGAGACTCATTATGTAACAAGCGTCATATCTATAAGTCTCATATCTATCTTATAATTTCACTGCCTAATCTGCACCCCTTAACCCGAAATACAGCTTACAAAGGAAATTGTTTGGCGGTTGAAATAGGCGAATTTCATGAGCTCACTGAGACAACTTTACCCTTTTTTAGTGTACCTGAAAATACACATAAAGTATGATCTGTTGTATCTTTTGTAGGTCGCACGCGTCTGGCAGCTCACTTCGACGTGTCCTAATTACCATTCCTAATAGTATTGAAATCGCATTCCTTCCTTTCCAAAACCTCTTGTGTGTGAAGATTGCATGAGTTGAAATTGTGGCGATAGTGAACCAAAGCTGTCACGGTTCGTACCCAGGGTCGCAACGAATTTTATGAACTAGATTAATACAAGTGTCCTAATTAATGTGATGTCTATAACAATAATGTTTTAGATGGCGTATATTTTCGTGTGTTTATTTAGATTAAGAACAAAATTCATTCGGAAAATGTTACAACAAAGATTGCGCTTGTCTAACGTTCAGAATGCTGGACATTCACTTATCCAGACTATTTATACATTATATTGTTTACCATGACAACAATATTATTATAGATTTGATAATTTTGTTCTCTATTTCTTCTTAATTCTTATTTATGTCTTAGTCTTTCCATGTTTTTATTTTTAGTTGGGTTGATTAGAATTTAAGAATAATGTTTCATAAAATTTAATCGACCTTTGATTTATTTTATTCATTGACATTATATTCCCTTAGGTAAGATATAGACGGACTGAAACATAAATTGGTAATGTTTTTTATTCCAGAAATGATAGAATATAACGTTGATTTTAATTTATAATATTCATTTTTGGAGAAATAACATTAATTGTACATATCATTTTAAGATTTGAGGCTCAAGTTATGTTAGGAATAGACATAGTACATTAGGTTACTAAGTAACGAAAGCGTAACAAGCTTCAGTAACATTTTTCGAATGCATACTAGAGTACAATAAATCATACAATGTTGATTTTATCAAACGAATTTTATCCCTTTATAATGTGATCTCGATTGAATAATAAAATTGCATGTAATATGGCTTATGTATTTTAGTTTAAGAAATCTTAACTATTGATTGTTATTGTTGCACAAGAGTATTACGATTAGTCGAACATTAAATTTCGGCTTTATGTACTTTTGGACAAAATATACATTTTTTCAATTATAAATGGTTCTATGTATAATATTGTTAATCCAATTTTTTGCAAGCTGACTTCGATGACAACATAAATCAGAAATTTGAGTCAATTATAGACGTTCAAATCTTTTTAAATAGATCTGTAGTAATAGAAAATATTATTTGATTATTATATACGCTTCCGTCTTGTGCAATGACTTTATAGTTTTATGCCCTTGATAATGGTCTAAAATATCATTGTTCCACATTGGTAAAAATATGATTTATATATAGGGACATATCGATTGATTAAAATCTGTACTGAAATCTCGATTTATTCTATTTTATTATATAAAAATCACTCGTTATTTATACTCTATTTACGTATTATAGAATATGCAAAATTAGTTGTTCGAATACATTAATTACATTGTATTCGAAGTTTATGATTATCATAAATTGCGATTGAATGCTATTTGGGCCAAAACTAAATACGCCATTACTTGTTTGGATCATGTAAATTTAATATTTATAGTTACATCAACACACAGATAAAAATAAAATTACCAGTCTAACATTTGTTGAAAAAGACTGCTAATTTATTGTGAACATAGTTATGTTTAGTTAGATGAGTATGTATATTTTATGACACAATAATAAGAAACTAAATTAAAATGCATAAAATATTATTACCAGTTTTTATACAAAAAAAAAAATACTTTGTATTAAATTTATTTTTATTTGTAAAATAAGATATAGAAGAATATTTTTTAATTTTATTGATATAGTGATATAATTAATTAAAATTTGTAAAAAGGCATTTTCACTGTGATACTATGTAACAATTAATGCCAGTTATGTTTAGGGTGTAATATTAAAATAAGCACAGTTCATTATTCTAAGTAAACCTAATGCATTTATGTATATAGTGTACATAATTATTGTCTAATGATTAAGGGATTAGTACAAAAATGCTATTAGTGCATAAAAAAATAAAATACATTCAATTTGATTTTTATGGATTTATAATAATGTGGAACTTCGATATTTTATCATTATACGATTATATTCTTTGTTACCTATTGTTCACTGTGTTGATGGTAACTGATCCTCAATATTTATTATTTGTATCAATATATTTTTTCTTACTAATCTACCAGTCCGCATTTTAAATAAACATAAGTTTGAATGGTCAAAACCATTACAAATATTAATATTGTAATGCAAAGTAAAAATAAATAAAGTGCAAATTTTTAAAGTAATCTATATTATGAGGCAGTAATGATGTTGTGTCAAGTGCCAATATTAATAATCGATTAAACAATATAAATTTGATATTTATAATAAATGTTCAATGTTAAAGATCAAAATTGAGTATAAAAATGTTGAAACTTGATATTAATTAACATGACCAGTTCTAATTAGATATAAATGTTTTCTGTATGTATGTTTATTATAAATTACTAATGTGTCCATTGTTTCAATTAGTATATGGTGATACTTAAGCTTATAAATGGATTCCTTAAGACTGTAGTGGATATATATGTATATATAAGAACTTTCTAATCTAAATCTGTTTTTATGTTTATGTGACCAATAACAATGTTTTAAAATTTTAACTTTTAGCTGTAAGTAGTTCAAGTACAGTAAGAGAGAAGATGATAGTATTATTTTATTCTACATCTTCATGATTCTGTGATCTTTAATTTTTTGTTGTAGTTCCAACTAGATAGTAATATATGTGTATTGGAGTAGTCTTGTCAGTATTTGCATGAAGAAAAAAATTAATGTTGGAATAAATGTTATTTTTTGAAAACTGTGTTTATATTTAAATGAAAGTACTATGAATAATTTATTTATTTATTGCATCAACAAATACATCTAATTATATTATGAAAGTATATAACCTGTTGGAAACTAATTTATTACTTGGTTAGGTCAGATAGATTGCCGTGGCGTCGTTCCCAAATCATGCGATGCTTTTGTTTCATATATGCTTTTCTAGCATCAGCATAAGCTCCAAGGTCACCATCTGTACATATAAAGAATTGGTCCATGTTTTACTATATCCTCTGGGTACTCCGGATACTTTGTTGGTGATGACTAACTACTAAAATATAAATTTGACTTGAGTGTAGAAACACTTGGTACTAACTGACAACATTTAGGTTCCCATTTGTTCCAATGTGCTAAAAAATAAGTATTTGTACAGAGTAATCATACCTTACTTTAAATACCTACCAACATTAAGTCACCATATTGAGTACTAATTAATTATCTGAATGAAATACAGCAAAAATACTATCCCAAAATCATATTAATGTAATGAAATTATAAATACCTTATAGACTAACATACATATAATATAATATTTAAACTAATAAATAATTTATGAAGACGGCCCAAAATCATATTAATGTGGGGACCAGTGTAATTTATTTGAAATTGTTTCTGTTGATTGTGATTATGAAATCATTTATTTAAAAAATGCAGGCAACTAGCGTTCAAAAATTACAAAATATACTGCATATTATTTTAATTTTATTAATAGACATTTAATAAAATAAAATAAAGAAAGTCTAATTCTAATACATATAATATAATATAAAACATTAAAAACTATTTATAATCAATAATATTGTCTGTGTGATCACGGCACTGAAGACGGCAAACAAATCTGCAAATCACGGTAGCGCCGATACATTGAAATAGTTTTTTAATTATATTAATATCACACCTTTTTATATTAAACCCGTAGTCCTCTTTCATGAAGGTGGGCAGCAAATATTTAATATAATAAAAATATATGTAATACGGATGGGCTGATATTTTAAAGATTGTAACCAAAAGAAACACCTTCTAAATTGTTTCTCCAAAAACAAACGCTTTGAAACTCGCGTTGTTACTCGACTTCAGCTGCGTTTCCCTCAATGTCAGGTTACTCTTGAAAATCGTACGAATAATATCGACAATGTCCTGCTCCTTAGTAGCGTAATGTAGACGGGACAGGTACATTGTCGTGGTCGGTGTAGCAGCACGCAGCAGAAAGTTGGGCCCAGTGAGTGCAGTGCCACAATGATTCCTATTGACCTTGTTTGTGCGCCTCTTCTTTTGTACCACGACGAAGCCATCATCGTCGCGGTTGCCAGTGGCAGCACACGTAGGGTCAATGTTCAGTGCCGTTTTTGGCACACGCCGCTGTACTGAAGCAGCCGGTTTGCTAGCGACGACGGCGGCAAAATCTCGACGCTGTGGTTGCACCGAGGATTTTGTTAGCGCTGCTTCCACATGCAGCGGTAACGGCGCTCGCGAGCTGCGGGCGGGGAGCACGGGGGGCGCGGCGGCCGTAGGTGACACCACATCTGGTGACGTCAGTGTCCACGCCGAAACCGCTGACTCCGCCGTGAACGCATCGCGGCATGCCCCACGGCGCGTGTTGATGTTCGTAGCGTCAAGTGACCTAGTTTCTTTTCGCGAGTCGCGCAAACTGTCCACTTCCTTGCGCAACTCACTAATTATGTGCTCTGACGCATTGAAACGTAGCGTCACATCTGCCAAACTCTTTTTTAAGGACACGATATCCTTGAGTAGGCTGGTAACATCGACGTGATCAAATGTGACTGGAGGAAGTTTGTTTAAATCCTTCGCCACAAAAGTCGGCACGTCGTCTGGATCGGTCTCCTTCAGCAGCGTTATAATGTCCTGTACGCTTTTTTGTGTCCCGTCACGTCTACGAGACACCATCTGATCAGTCTTATTTAGGGACTCGAAGAGCAGAGCCTTCGCTCTCGCGATGTCGTCCTGGCTGAAGTTGGACACACAGATCTGGACTGCACTTACTTCGTCCATTACGTCCAGCTTCTGCTGCAGGAACGCAAGGAGTTCGTTGGCCACAAGTTTGTCACACATGGCTGGAACTTCGACTAGCACGGCTTATGCCGCGCTGAGCAATTACGATATTAAATAAAATAATTATAATACGTGCACATCGGATCGCGCTTACACTGAGACTGAAAACTGTGTACATAAAATATACAGTATGTCTATGAAGCAAGGCCTGTAGCAAAAATATCTATTTATTGGCATAACAAAACTTTTGTCCAAACATATATTGTGTCTTGCTTTATTAATTCTGTGATATTACAATATTAACCTAAAGTGGGGGACGCAAGATCAACTTGACATTGTACATTGCTAGTAAATTTTTTTTTGTGGATGTTAATGAAATAGTCTGCGCAAAATAAATCTCTGCAGTCTGCTAATCCGCCTGCGCAAACGGTATACGCTAGCGCCTGTAGGATGTCACTAGGAATTTATCACAATGGTTTCCAGGAGGAACCACATTGAGGTAGACCTAACATGGTACATTCCTAGCAATGGGGATTACTAACAATCCCCTTTGTGGGGTACGCCTGGTGTTTAGGCACAATACACTTATTTATTAATTAACAGAAGGAGGTCAACTATATGGAAAAATAAAAATTCCAGACTAATATGGTTTAAACACGGGCGCGTAAATAGAGAACAAGGAGTTCATTATCGAGAGATGTGAGCTTCATGTAACCTCATTTGAAATCTAGACACGCGGTAGCGTGTCAAGCCGAGTTTCAAGTAACTGGCGAGCAGCACCGTGTGTATATTTACACGAACCATTTGGAGCCACTTTTGACCCCTCATAACTCAAAAACTCTTTCACATAAACCTGTCAAATTTGGTTCATATATTGAGACTTGCGAGATAAATTGTGTTCCAGATTTATTAACGTCCAAATATCGTCATTTTTATCACTGATCAACTATAGATCAAAATTATAACCCACTTCCAGATGACCTAGGAAGTTTAAATTTGGCATGCAGATAGGTAATTAGGATGAATATAAAAAGGAAAAAATTGTTGAAAAAACTGAAACTGGTAAATTGTTATCATTTTATTATAATTTTTCACTTTAATTGATTCTATTTCAACTTATATTGGACGAATACTAAAATTCTATGAAAACGTCGATAACCACCAATGAACATTGATCCCTGGCAAAAATAGCTCATCTTGTACTGGACGGACAGCAATATTGTATGAAAACGTCGATCTTTACCAATTTACGTTAACCCCTTCACATCAGTGTGGATAACTAGCAAACTTCAAATATTGCATTGAGCGGTAAACACAAGTTGCTATAATTTAGATTCTGTCTAAAATATACTCGTACTTATAACTAAGAGTATATCATATACCCCGAAAACATACGAAAATACAGTAGTTTATCAAAAATAATATGGTATTAATTTAGTTATAAATAAGTACCTCGTATAATTTGTGTACAAAAAGTAATGATATCCCATCAAAAACACAAATGTGAAATGATAGCCGAGTTTAATATTATGATATATGCCTTGATTGTTGACTTCTACGACAAAAGAGGTGAGATCTAAATGGGTGCCAAGTTCAATGGTATGTCCTGAAATGTATTTATAACAATATATAATATCATTTCTTCTTATAACTTAGGATAATATACTGTAGCCTAAGGTCTAACTTGGCTAGTTTTCATATACGAAATATACTGTAGCCTTCGCAAGTTCTAAACATTTACAACAGTTACTTGTCGGTTCCTATTTTATTATTAGTAGTAACTAGCAATCGAAAGTAATAATTGGTATATGAGAACTGGCCAAGTTAGACCTTAGGCTACAGTATATTATCCTAAGTTAGAAGAAGAAATGATATTATATATTGTTATAAATACATTTCAGGACATACCATTGAACTTGGCACCCATTTAGATCTCACCTCTTTTGTCGTAGAAGTCAACAATCAAGGCATATATCATAATATTAAACTCGGCTATCATTTCACATTTATGTTTTTGATGGGATTTGTATTGTTTACATTATTCTGCCTCAGGCGGCGGGACTCCAGCGCATTGCGCGCTAGAAAGCTATGCTATAAAAATATATATATGTATGTATGTTATGGCAAACCTTAAAAATCAAGGAATAGAGAATAAATACATACGACTTATAAGGAACGTATATAAGAACAGCACAGCACGCGTCAAACTTGAATCACTAGGGGAAGTCTTTCCAATTAGCAGGGGCGTTAGACAGGGTGATCCTTTATCTCCCAAGTAATTCACATGCGTTCTTGAAGAGGTCTTCAGAACTTTTGATTGGGATAATGAAGGTATTGAAATATATGGGAAAAAACTCAATCATTTGTGATTCGCTGACGACTTGGTACTCATGACAGATAGCCCAGAAACTGTACAAATAATGCTTGAAGAACTTATAAAAGCGAGTAACAAAGTTGGCTTAACAATAAATAAGACAAAAACTAAAATAATGACCAACAAAAATGAAGTACCAATCAAATTAGAAAAAGAACATATAGATTAGACCTTGGACAACTCATCTGAATAAAAGACCAAATGAAACAGGAAATAGAAAGATGAGTTACAAATTCATGGAAAAGATACTGGTCATTGAAAAGTATAATGAAAAGCAAACAATACCCCATTTACTTAAAAAAGACATTTTTTAATACCTGTATCTTACCAACTTACCAACAAAACATATATATAACTAAAATTTTTTTTATTTTTTAAACTTTTAATTAAATATTATGTTAGATTGTATAATTTTGTGTCAATTATATAACTAAAATTTTTTTTATTTTTTAAACTAAAGGCTTTGAATTTGAATTTGAATATAACACCTAATTCCATTATTTGTGATAGTCCTGGCTTAGTGGTTTAATACTCTGAATTTAGGCCCAAGAGATTATGTTGTGTCAATTTATATTTGTAACTAATTCACTAGTGAAGAATCACTCATATCCATTAAACCTTAATCTGAGAGTGAGTGATAGGCTTGCCATTGTCTCATTGTACTCAAAATGTAGTCTGTGTTACATTCACCATATATTGACAGTTGATAATTAATCTGTTATCCTATCCAGTCCTTCACAATTGAATCTATTAATACAAAAACCTTGACATTTCATAAGCACCTGAATGTCCTACATTAATAAATTATTTTTGATTTCATGTTTGTTTTGTTTTGTTTGTTTAACAGCTTTTTACTATCAGGTAATAACAATTCTAATACATTTCTAATCCATACTTACACTTAATAAACCAAGCTTCTTCACTATCCTTGTATCTGTCCCAAAGAGGTTTGCAGGTCAAATAATCAGGTGCCTCATACATCATGCAGTCTTCATATCGTTGACGCAGTATAGTAAGAATTTCAGTGTCAACGGCTCTGAAATATTTTATTTAAGTCTTATCAATGTTAAATATGGTACATATCATCTTAAATACTCAATATGGATGTTAACAAAAATTTTAATTGTATTATTAAAAAAGAAAACAATTTCTTTGCACAAAACAGAGAAAATTCATAAATGCGTAGTAGAAAAACTTTTCATAACATAAAGATTTCTTTACATATTTATGACACTAAAGACAAATGTTACTGAAAGTTTTACAATATTTTCCATTAGTGGTCATAATGAAATGACTTTCTTGTTGCACATATATTGTATTACGAACATGTGGTCAGTGGTGTGCCAGGGGAACATGATCAGATGGTGGTCAAGTCAGGTCAATTAGCACAGATGAAACTAACCTATCACGTTTGAATTGTACATTGGCTTCAAAATCGCAAACAGCATCGTCTTCATAGCATTGATCGATTGTAGGTACACGACGGAATTGCTGGTGATACCAAGGATACTTCTTCTGGTTTGGTTCTACAACTCTTTCTAAAATAATAGCAGAAAAATTAGTAATACGCACTTATATAACAACAAGTGCAGATCAAAATAAATATACCTCTGAACCAAGTCACCGGACTATCGACAGTGTTGTAAACAGCATTTATGAAAGCTCTAAATAAATTATCATCTGGTGGACCGCTTTGCTGTACCATTATTATTTATATTTTTGTATTAATATATGGAAACAGAAGTGAAATTGGAAGTGACTATAATAAAAAATATGTGAATACAGACTACCTTACTATTTAGAGCATTAGAGAACCAGACAGTGTTGCCAGACGACCAACTTGCTTTAGTCCAAATGTTGCTCCGAATCCCACCCAAATTCCTAATTTTCAGGAAAAATCCTACCCATAATGCTTGTATTGGTGTCTACTAGCATACCATAACATGACCATTACCCAGAATATTAATTATGTTTTTTTTTGCAACATTCCTATTACTTTTTGTTGTAGATAAATTTTTTGATTAGCCAAAACGTCGCCATAGAACGTTTTGTCGATATCGTCGGTGGCCTACAAATAACCTAATAAGCCAGAAATCTGGTTGAAAATAATAAGAAATTCTGTAGTACTACATACACACTGACACTAATAGGTTGACAAAATTGACATAGACAGTATTGGAATTGATTAATATTGTAGTGGTGTTGGTAATATAATATGTAGATTACTTCAGATTGCTTCAGATGATACAGATTTAGATAGATGTACCCAAAGAGCCGGAACAGATAAATCTGATCAATTTTCTCCAGGTTGAAAAATTCTATAATGGTTAACGCCTTATATTAACCAGTAGATAACCTGTCTTGATAGGGGGGTCGGGAATTATTAGTAATGTGGACTAATGATCCCTTTGCTAGCAATGTACCATGTCAGGTCGACCTCCACGCGGTTCCCTGTGGATTTGTCACGCTGGGCTAACTGATCTGACTTCATGTTCATCCTATCATCCTCCACTGATGCCCCACCAGCGTAAACCGTTAGCGCTGGCGGGAGCACCATTCCATTATCATCCTCTAAAAAAAACCTGTATTGATGTACGATATATCTGGTAAATAAAATTTTAAAGTTCTTGTGCTTAAGGTCTATTTTTATCAAAAAAAGTGTTATTTAAAGAGAGTCCGGTTTGTCAATCCATCCTTGGAACCGGAGCTGACTTTCACAGTAGGCTTCATGTTATATAAGAGTGTCCAGTATTTTCCGGGGAAGCACGGTGACCTCACGCGATTTTGGGAATCGATCTCTCGCTGCCGAATGAAGTTCGAATTATGGTGAGTAGCGAAAGATCGTGGCTGACGGTAAGCTCCTCAGAAGGAGGAAATTATCTCGCGGAAGGAGGCGAAGGAGTCTGTTTGCCTAACTAATTGACCCCGGAGGCATATGCTGTAATAGAGCAGGACGAAGTAGGTTGCACTAACAACGAGATTGGGCCTGCTCTATACCTACATGTCGGACTAACGACTCCGGAGTCATGGTAGAATGCTTACGCGACTTCACGATTTCGGCAATGGCGCTTATGTGTACCTACACTGATTAGTTTTTAGTGGGTAAGAATCCCACGGACCGCCTAGTAGTATTCCTCTGACGGGAGGATGGTGCTTTAAAGATTTTTCACACTATGAAGAAAATGCTTCATAATACAACTATAAGAATTTCCGGGCGAGAATAAATGATTGACGAAATTATGGCTCATGGACTATAAGGAACCTAGCGATATCTAGGAGCTTGAAATATGTTACGAGGTAGGATCGCTCAAAATATTAGCATTTAATTTTTGTGTGAGTTGCTCATAACGAGCCTTGTTAATATTATGTATTAGTTTCTGTACCTACACTCTTAGGTAATATAACTATGTAATATTATTATATCTGTGATATAAAGCAACTATTCGCAATTTCGCTTTTTATGTATTATTATAATATGAGTATGATCCACCAGTTTTAGCGGATAATATTTAGAGCACCGGTGTAGGATTATAGGATGAACTTGAATTCAAGTCAGTTAGCTCATTGTGACGATTTCACTATGAATAAAGTGTATCGCAGGGGAACTGTCTGGAGGTCAACCTGATAGTTAATACAAATAATCAACCTGATAATATAGGGATGGATTTACCATTACGTAGTGTAGGCAAATTCCTGGGGGCCCAGTACAAATAACGTTATTACAAATGCTTCATATAGTGATAATTCCATTAAAAACTGATATAGTTTTTACGACGCAAATATAAAATGAGAGCCGAGAATTTTATTCGCTAGGGGTACCGCAACGGTCCTTATAAAGGAGAACGTTCTCCCTTTTTTGTTTGTATTTTTCAAAGTAGTACTGTACTACATTTGATAGCTCTTTCTGCAATTGTTAGAACTTACATCAATTAATTAACATTCGGTTACAAATGAAACTAATTTTTACAAATATGTTTTGAATTTTGGCAATTAACTAGTGGATTATATATAACAACGAATCTTCATGCATAGCAGTTTCGAAGCCGATGGACCGATAAGGAGCTTTTTTATACAGTAGCAGAATATAAAGTAGTGAAATTCATAACTAATTTAAAATTTGTAGCGCGCACGTCCGCATATCTGTCTGTCCGAAGGTATTCCAGTATCATACATTATAAAAAATTTCCTTCTTTTTAAAGTCCGTCAAAAATTAACAGGTCTTTTTTATATATTCTTTTTCCAAAATCAATTATAAAAATTTTAATATGGCAGAATTTGTACTATCAGTACTATAAAGAGGCACCAGAATTCTAAATAGAATTCGATTATTCTCTCTCCAATCTATCCTATATTAGTTAGGTACATATCTTTAAGTATAACTGAAACTTAATCAACATTTTCCCTTATACAGAGCTACATGCAATATAAATAGTAGCTACCTACAATTGCGCTTTATAATTAAAATAATATCATTTCTCATTAAGAGAGCGTAAGGGTTTAAGCAAAACACCATTTAAGTCATTGAACGTAGGGCGGGCGGCGCGCATGCGTCCCATGTTAATAGGGTTGCTAGTTATTTTAAATACTACCGATTGGTAATATAATTTTATCACACACTGGACAGTATCAGACAGACAGAATCAGAATGCATAAGAAATCTTGCCGAAACTGGAATATATTTTATATTTCAGTTTGGGCAAGATTTCTTATTAAAGAACTGATAAGCATTATAGATATAGATAGAAGCACATATATATATATATATACATATATGTGCTTCTTCTTTACTGTATGTTGCAAATGTCTAGATCTATCTACATAATTTTATTACTTTGTACCAAAAAACTGAATTAAACTATTTTTTTATATTAGCTTCCTAATATTCCCAGTTGTCACGCAATAGAATTACTGAAGTTCTACTGCTGTTATATTTGTTATAAAAAAGAATTATTACGGAACTACATGTGTTTATAAAAGTATCATCTGTGTTTTGGGTAGATAACATTCGCCTTCAACTTGTAACCCAGTGTGCGGTCTTGTCAATTGTTCATTGTGTTGTACGTCACGTTTGAGTGGAAAGGTGTCCCCTGGTGGGGCTGCGGAGCGCGAGGCAGTATGGCGCCGCGGCCCTGATGATTCGTATTAGTTTTGTGGCGCGCGTGTTAGCGGCAACTGTTTCTCGTGCTCATGCGAGTGCATAGTCGGTACGATGAGGTGGCGCGGCCGCGCGGCTCCGTACCGCGCCAAGGAGCGCGCCAACATCAGTTTCTTCATCTTTATTATGTTCTTTGCGGTGTTCGGTGTGATAATACTAACACAGCTTTTGTTACTGGAACGGCCCAATACCACCGGCTCCTCGAGATCTCGTTATGAAGACCTCCAGGTGAGTTATTAACCAGTTATTCGCTGACAATGTTTACAATCTGACATTCCAATATTTCCTTTGTTTGTATTTTATTTGTAAAGAGATCAATGAAATTAAAATTATTGTTAAAACATACCATTGATTTGAATGAAAAATTCGTGTTTCTCTAAACATAGTTTTATTAAAGCTTTTTGTATTAAGGTTCATTTTTAAATAACAATATTAAGTAGCTTGTACTTATTGAAAGTGATAATAAATAGTATACACGCGAATTTTACACTAAATGTGTACCTATATTGATCATCTTGATCAGATCAACAGTCTAAGGTCAATAACCACCCACATGCCTATATTGCTATTGGCCGGAGCTTCTTAGTGAATGAATCCGTACTTACAGACGGATGTGCGACTGCTGACTACTGAATGGATTATTTTATTTACTAGTTTTATAAGATTACGTGCCTAAAACAGGCACGACGTTACGAAACCACTAATATTGTAACTTTAAAATACAAATACATATGTGCGTAGTTTTATTTTAGACAATAAGAAAAGATTTTAATAGTTCCAGTTCTTCAGAATGTGAATTTGTAGTGTCAATCAATAAAGATTTTTTTTCTGATAATAGATATCACAATTATGACAGAGGTTTATATGTACGAGTAGGTAGATTCTAAGACATTTTAGAATCTACCTACTCGTACATCATATGTCTCTTAAGAGATTAATTTTTTTTCTAGTGACGGAAAATGTAAACAAAAACATACCTGCTCCCTTCATATCGTTTGTAAAGAAACATCAGAAATATTTATATATTCAAATATAGGTATCGTCCGATTTTATTTTATATGCACATTTAATTTAATTCAACCAATTCAATATCAACAATATGCCCATTTAGGACTGTTGTTTAATAGCAATGTGCTTTCAGGTGGTCTGGGACCTTGACAACTATTGTGGTTAATTCCTGGTGAATTAGCCACGATTAACTATTAGAATTACCATTAGAATACTGCGCTACAAACACAGTAAAAAGGCGAGAGAAATATTCCATCGTAATGTATTTCAAAAATAAACTCAAGAATATCGTATTTAGATTAGTGTCGAGCGTCCATGTCCGTACCATCATTTCAAAAAAGAACGTTTGTCGTATATCGTCTCGTACCTTACTAGTTTTTTTAACTGTGTACGTGTTCCATGATTTTAGTAGTAGCGCCATACTCTGTTCGGCCAATCATACATTGGTCAGCTTCTCAAGATACGATAACCCCGTATTTTAATAAACCCATCTATTAACATTATCTACGGGCTCAATAGCGAAAATACAGTCTCGAACCAATTTATAAATGACTTTTCCTACATTATTGGAATAATATTTTGATATAATTCTTTATCATTTATGTGTTGTATTGTATTGTATACATGTATTGAAGCCAGGAAT